CTGTCCTCAGGGTACTGCCTTTCACTCTGCTTGCCAAGTTGAAAGGTTAGAATGGTTACATTCCCACAGCAAGACCAAGTTTGCCTCAGTGGGGCTTTGGCCAATCCAACATGACCATTTTTCATTTTTTCCAAAAAGGAAGCAATGCACTCCACATGACAGGCAGTAGCGAACTTCAGCAAATCAGATGTGACATTATCCTTCCAAAAGCAAGGGAATCGGTTATGCCACAAACTGCATAACTGCATAACTCAAAGTCGACATACGGCCAACACAAGAGAAAATTTTAATTAATAGCTAGTCGGAAATGCAGGAAAAAGTTGGGTATCCTGGAAATTGTAGCTCTGAATATGATTTTAGCAGCTCTCTGTTGAATTAAGAATACATAAGCGGCAGTCCTGCACATTTGTGCAGATGCCACAAATCACACTGCAGCCATCTGTGAAAAACATCTTTCCTCACTGTTCGAGCATAGACAAAACTCTTTGGGGATATCCTATGGTGGGTAGCACTTGGATATCAGTGGCTGGTTCTTTATGGTCTCTGTGGAAAGTTTGTCCCCACACATGTTCAATTTTACATCGGCTTGGGGAGTTTGAATGTAAATGGCACTCCCTTAAAATCTGTTTTTGTTTCTCTAGACTAAATCAAGAGCAGTGTACGGTGCAATGTCTTGCTGGGGAGGCCATTGGGAATACTAGTCATTTTTGCAAAGCTAATGTTAAATAGTGTAATGCACCTCATGTGTCTGTGATTTTAAAATTACTAATTGCTGTATTTTCTATTCTTTTATTCTTTTTCGGTTTGTAAAACTAAATGAAACAGTGGTGCAAAACAGGGACAAGGGAAGTTAAAGCTGTTAGAGCCCAGGACATGTAAATACATGTAAATACATTTAGATACATTTAAATACATTTAAAGATACCACACCACTGGGATCTTGATGTTCTCATGAATATGCAAAAACAAACACACAAAACTGTGCGGCACAGACTCCTTTGTTTTTTTTCTCGGCTCACAGCAGTGGATATCATTCACTATCTGACACAAACTATCATATTCAACAATGTTTTATACCTTAAGAAACATTGTGATTAAAAAACAATAAAGCAGAACTGGGACATATGCCGCCCACAGTGAACAACATGGCTAAAACTCTTCCAACCTCCACATTTTCTTTTATACAATTTGATCAGATATTGATCTAAGTCCAGGACCAGCTGGTTCTGTCAAACACCATTTTCCATATAGTCACCATCCAACAACTAGTTAGTCTAAATGTTTATGTTATGCCTGGGCTAACCAAAATATTGGCAGCCTCGTATCCACGCTGCTGATTGCTAGTTTGGTCATGAAGTGGTTTGTGCATAGAAGGAGGCTGGTCAGAAAATATATTCCACATGAATACATGAAAACCAACATCAAAGTACTGAAGTAATTTTCTTAGCATAGATAGAGCTGTATGCACTGTGTTGACTTTATTAGTATTTATGTTTGTGGTCTGAAATATATATGTCACGTGCAGATGAATGAAAAAATGAAAGGAGACTTGCATGTATAATGTTTTATCATGCATCATGTTTTGTTAAAGTCCTCTGCAAAAGTAGCTCAATCCACAACTTTAAAAGAAACAAGTTGCTACTTATTCTATAGTGGCCACTGGCCACTTATATATCCCTACATTTATACACTATTTATAGCGTCCCTTTCAAGTCTGGTCTATTTTTTGCCCAATTTTCCTTCATTTGAAGAACACATGGGCAGAAGTTCCTGAAACAAATTATGTTGTTAAGAGTTTCTTGCTTTCAGTTAAAAAGGGCAACTCCCACTTCGTTGGTCAAAACTTTTGATAAAAGGGTTATTTATAAAGCCTTCTGTCATACTTCTTAAAGGTGTAGGTTTTCCTGGCAGGAAAAACATTGTTTGACAAAAGGGAGGTCTTCCTTATCAAACATATCAGAAGGGCAAGGCATTGAAAACGAGAGGACTCTATTCTATGTAATAAAATGCTTACTACATCTGGAGTGACGGAAAAAAAAACTGAATCAATGTGTTAGCCAAACCAAAACTGGACTTGTATGAACTATGTTTAATTCCTTTACATAGTGGTCTAATGAAATCTGTCCAAAATCTGAAACCTCAAACCTCAACTAACACATGTCTGGGATTTACCAGAAACTCTAGCAATGCACCAAAGCTTCTTTTTCCTTTAAGTTAACACTGATATTGTTAAATTCCTACTAAAGCGTCTCTCCTTTACATATTTTGTTAAGTTTTTTTTCTGTCTCAAACGCTCAGACTTTTGTCGTGCTCTAGATGAATTGTCTGTTCTTTTTTGCAGTGAACTGAGATGTGCTAAGAGTTTGTGTGTGCTTATATCCAAATATGTATGGTTATGAGTATATAAATGACAGTCATTTTCATTTACTATCATGTTGCATTAAAATGTAACAACACACGGGGACATTGGTAGCTAATACACAAAAGCAGTACTTTCCATCTCTAAATCACATATTCCATATTCCATCATGCCACATTCACAACACTCCCTGCTTGTGAATCTGTAATATTAGTACATGGTTAGTTGAAAATAAAACTACATGGATCACATTTTATAGCCTTTGAGGAACCCAAGTATCAAGAGATTTAAACACCTGAGGCGTTTTTCTGGACCTACTTGGTGGACAGTGCTCTGTACCGCTATCAGCACAAATGAATGCGAATGAACACCACTCTTTCAGAAGAGTGGTGTTCAGCCCTTTCAGAGGCTCTGTGTAGATTTTCTGGCGACTCGATACACCCTCTAAAATAAGGCCTTTCCCATTGCCAGCAGCAGCGTGGTTACCCTCAGTGACCCGGTGCCATAGATAGGACACATTATTGCTCACAGGGACAACCTTGTAGACTACTATAACAGGAAGGAATGGCACACGATTCTCCTACAGGCTGTGGGGAACCATAAATTCTGGTAAACTCAGTGAGAATTTAAAGCTCTTCTGGTCAAATTCAGCAAATTGGGACTGCGATTTGTCCGCTGGGGACCGAAAAAAAGATGTCGGCAGGTGGTTTCTTCTGGGTAAAGCGCTTTAGACATTTCATGTAGTTTTTATCCCTTTAATTTGTGGCTTCAAATAGATTCAAAAGCCTCCCTCTTTGCTTAGCAGCCAAAAGTAAGTTCAGGAATGTCCATTTGAATCCAAGTCTCTTCTCTTATTATTAACACAGAGGTTTTATGGCTCAAACAGTAACTGTGGTCATTATCTGCTGAGTGTGACGACTATTAGTCTGTCAATGCCAACACCTTGTGTGCGCTCCCCTGCTCCTCACACTCTACTGTGAAAGCAAACACTGTGGCTGGTGGAGTGTGCTGGTGGCTGATAATGTCTTGTTGAAACCAGTATCTCTCTCAGATCTGCTCTCTGCTTTCAATAATATTCGTTCCTCATCGCTTGATATTTGGCTCAAATGCCCCGTTTTCAACCTGAACGCTCCCTCCGCTTCACACCACCATGCACTGATTTCTTTCCTGCGTGTGCACCAAACACACACCGCCACTCTGATAACCATCAGCTCCGAGGCACGCTCTATTGTTTCAGCTCAGTGCTAATTACTTGGGGTCCTGACCTCAGGTTCAGCCCGGGAGCAGCTGAGGGGGATGGGGAGTGGGCGAGTGTGCGTGTGTGTGCTGAGGGGATAGTGTGTTTGGTGTCGGGATGGTCTGGCAGAGAGGTCATTGCTGCTGCCAATCAATTTTCCCCCCTTGATTCACCAAAACATTGGTCAAATCTACGGGGAGAGCACAGCTCAACTATTCATATGCTCATGTTTTAAGTAGCTCTCCTCGCTCAGGTTTCAAATCTGTTTATTCAATCTCGCCCGTGTTTACACCCTTATTGGACTTTAATTTAAGAAGAATTATCACAAAGTCACTCTAAATGGAATTTTTCTTATCTGCTGGTGCTTCTCTCTGCATCGGTTCCACGTCTTTATGTCAGCAGATAGATTGAATTTGTGATAAATATTGCAGATTTTCTGGGGCCAGGCAGAGCTTCTGCTTCATTTTGCATGAAATAAAGTGTGACCATTAATTTCAATGGATAAAAACCTGCATTTGAAAGGAAATATTGCACCGCATCTTCTCGATCCACACATCTCAATTTATCTGAGATTAAAAGTTATGTGAACTCAGGTGTATGTATTTGGAAAGATATTTGAAGTCCCTAAGCTGAGGTTCACTACACCTTATTTTTTGCCACCCTCAGAGCTGTTCAAATGACTTGGAAGAAAAAAAGTAAATCAAGCAGTCCTTGAGCTTTCCACCTCCCCAAAAAGGAGCTCAGGCACTTTTTTTGGTCATGTCCACTTACAACACTGAAAAGCCAAAACAACAGTCTTCACTCCTAGTTTCATGCTGTAAAAGAGAGGCCGTCTCCCGGGGTGCCACAAGCACACAAAACCCCATCCAGAGGGCGCATTCATTGCAATGCAAAACAGATTTCAGATGCTTCAGCATCACTTAAGGCCTTACTTTCAATTACAATGTCATGAGCACTTAGAGCTGATGGGCCTTTAGAAAGGGGAGGGGAGGGGGTGGCACTGGTGAGGTCCCTGAAAGTCTTTAAAACACCATAAGGGGCTCAACATATAAAATACACACATTATCACATACCACAGACATGCGAGGGTTTTGTAAAAATGGATTTAAGCCATGTGATGCAGAGCACAAGTTCTGCATATTGTCAGATTTAGTCGAGGAGTGGTCTGAGGGTAACGAGAAAGGAAAAACATGGGGGGAAAAAAGGAAATGAGACAGGAGAGGCAACATCGGGAAGGCGAGGAGAAAGGGGGATAGATGATAGGGGGGTGTGGGCGGGATGCTCGCTCCTCTATTTTTCTTTTTGGATCCCGCCCTCCTGGCCAGGGGTTGGTCAGGGAAACTCAACTCCCGGACACGGATTGGTCGGCTCTGGGCTGGACGGAGAAAACAGTCTCCCCCTCACAGACACAATAAAGTTTAGCAGTGGACGCTCGCAGGCAGTGCGCACAGAAGCGGAGTTGCAGAATCTAACGGGGGAACCTATTATTTAACCCACGGAGTCCCCAACCAGAGACGACACAACGAATTACCAGGGATTTTTCTGACATGTGCGCGTTTCCTGAATATTTAAACAGCAGAGGCGCGCAGAGAAAGCTGCTGTTTGGAGATTTGAATGGCTCAGAGTGGGATATTGTAGCCTCCTAAAACAAAAAAACGCACGGATTTCACCAACTCCGCTCCTGTTGGACTATCTCCACGTGTTTTCGTTACCCAGGGCGACGGTACGGTGTTTGTTGGAGATAATCACAGCTTTCCGGAGGACGCCTGCCCGGTCCTGGGGGTGGGTGGGGGGGGGAGGAAACATGCCCGGGATGCCGCTCGCCGCGCTCGCGTTGCTCCTCCTGGTCTGTCCACGCTGCGTGGTCCAGGCTTTCGGAGACGAGGTGGAGGAGATGACCTGCGACCCGATCCGGATCAGCATGTGCCAGGGTCTGGGCTACAACGTCACCAAGATGCCCAACCTGGTGGGCAACGTGCTGCAGTCGGACGCAGAGCTCCAGCTGACCACCTTCACGCCGCTCATCCAGTACGGCTGCTCCAGCCAACTTAAGGTACTACACCCAGACCCTTGTCATGAAAAGTTAGAGAGGTAACTTTTTTTAAAGTGTTTAAAGCTGTTGCAGTCTTCGGAACAGTGATTGTGGACATCTAAATAAGTTGGACAGGGTCCAGAGAGTGCGCGGTGCTTGTGCCAGTGTGCGCAAAAAGAGAGAGAGTGGAGCCCAGTGTGGTCCCAGAGCACATGACAAGAGGGAGCTACCAGCAATAAGTGCCTATTCTGTGAGCCGCCCAGACTGATGGTGCCACGGATAATGAGCGTATTATGGGTCGATTCCCATGCGGTTCAAGTCAGAAAAAGGGGGTCCCGGCCTGCCCCCCCCCCCCCTGCTGTTGTGCCAGGCTGCCATGCCATGCTAATTTCATAGAAAATGCCCTCTGTCTGTTGACATTCTGAGTTCATGCTCCACACAGCAACAGCTGAATCTTCAGGACCATCTACTCTACTGTCTTGATGAAAACAATGGTGCCCTCAGTGTCCACAGACAAATGCTGCTTGTTTGACTCATGCACCATGTAAGAAAAAATTAGATTGGCCCCATTATGCATCTCGGAGATTTTACTTTAGACTATAATTAGAATGACTGGTGACATAAGAGGCAAGAATTTGTTCCTTTTTCTTTAGGCGGGGGTAGCAGACTGATTGAATTGTTTTTACTCTTAAACAACTGTGAATCAGAGGTTAATAATGTTTTGGCATGTCGTGATGATAAGGCGGTTTAAAAACAAAATTTTACACAATAAGGCAGGCCGATTGTAGCACCAAAAAAGTGTTTTTCTCTAATTCTAAATTGCCCAGAAAGTTTTGGTGACACCCATGTCAGTCTATTTCTCTCTCTCACACACACACACAACTAAAGAGGGGAAAAAAGGGAAAGAGAGACAGTATCGTCTAACATTTGCTCTAATGGGAGGCTTCCTGACTGGTAACCGGAGCAGCTTTTAACACTGAAGTGGCAGCACTCAGGTTACAAACGGTCAGAGGCGGGAGGGGGGGCACCTCAGCATGGGTTACATTACCATCACTGGTTGAGTATGCATAACTCACCGTGAGAAGCAGACATCGAATTGCATGTAATGCAATATCCTCCACTTGTATTAACCTTTGTGAGAGTAGGAGCAGACGCAAAAGCGATTCCCACACTATCGCACAGGGCGCATCTGTACGTTTCTAAACACTGATTTAATTTCGACTCACAAGTGGCTGAGCACAAACAGCTTATGGCAAGTTTATTATTTGCGGAGAGAAACCTAATCGCGTCCCCTGATCGGTCAGTCGGCCTGCTCTGCTGGTTGAAAAAGTACATCTGCAATTCAGATACAGATCACAGAACAATTTGGGTTTAAAGGAAGCTGGAGTTGGACAAAGAATTTTCAAGTAATGTCGTTCCTCAAAGTTTTACTGTACAATCCTTTAAATCCAGAAGGGATATCTTGAAAAAGATATGAACTTCGACATGGGTCAGAGACCAGCAGCTTCTTGATTCAGTTTAAATCCCTATTCATAATCAGCAGCATAGATTAGGTTGCCAATATTTGAAACATTAGGTTTTCTTTGTAAATATCTTTTCACAGACAATAAGAGTTGTCCAGCACCCCCCGCCCCCTATTTCCCAACCTTGAAACACTTCTGGGGTTCATGTTTGGTTTGGTCTTTGTTTCAGGGCTGTGGTTTGTCTATCACTGGACCGAGGCTGTAAAGCTCATATCGAGACCCAATACATACTTTGGCAACTGTTAAACGGAAAAACAGCAACAAACACACTTATTTTCACATCAGTATGAGTATGTGGACAAAATGTTTCCTTTATCTGATAGTAGCTGAGTGAAATATTCTCTGTCATGAGTCTGGCACAGTTTTACTCCTTTGAATAGATTTCATAGTCGGCGCATTAAATCTCAGAATATGTTGCCCATTATAACAGACTAACTGTTCACATCACAAACATGATTGTACATTGTTGAACACTTTACAAACACACCTAGAAGGTCAGCTGAACTGAGAACATATTGCATCAGTACAGTGGCACATGCATTCATGCTCTTTAAGAAAATTATAAAAGAGGCTAATCTTAACCATGAACTTTTTTTGTCCCCCAGTTTTTTCTCTGCTCAGTTTATGTGCCCATGTGCACGGACAAGGTCCCCATCGCCATCGGGCCGTGTGGTAGCATGTGCCTGTCTGTCAAGAGAAAGTGCCTCCCAGTTCTACACGAGTTTGGCTTTATATGGCCTGAGGTGAGTGGCATCGCCGCGAGAACTGCCCGAGAAATGTCAACAATCTGCCTGTCCTCACTATATGTGTGACAGAGGGTCTGATTGCATTCATTTCAGCGGGATGGGATTCTTTTTTGTAGTTTTTACTGTAGTTTTTACCTACCTATATTAGAATAGATGTTAGTTTTTTCACAGTTTGTCAAAGTTCGGGGTCAAAGTAGTACTCTTTAAATATCTTGTTAATGCCCTCTCCTTTAAATGGAATGTCAGTTGAAAATAAGCACCAGTAGCTGCCTATTTTAAGGATTTTTAACTTGAGTAATTTGACACAGTTAATTTTAATGGGCTTCATTTGACATCAATGCTGTGGACTAAATGTCACTTGAAAAAGTCGAAAAGTTCCACTGTTGCTAATTTGAAGCTAAAAGTGTCATAATATTAATACTTACCGATCAATAAAATACATTTTGAGAAAAACTAAAAATGAGTTGGATATATTTTCAGGTCCTCAACTGTAGTCGCTTCCCACCTCAAAACGACTACAATCACATGTGTATGGAGGGTCCTGGGGATGAGGACCCCCCTTACCCGCCGGTCCGCCATCCCCCACATCAGGAGGAGTGCCTAGGATCTGCACCTGACCAGTACACCTGGCTCAAACAGACTGAAACCTGCACTCTCCAGTGCGGCTATGACAGTGGGCTCTACCGGCGAGGGGCCAAAGTCTTCACCGATGCGTGGATGGCGGTGTGGGCCGTGCTGTGCTTCCTGTCCACCACTCTGACTGTCCTGACCTTCCTCTTGGACTCTCAGCGCTTCTCTTACCCGGAGAGGCCCATTATCTTTCTCTCCATGTGCTGTAATCTGTACAGTGTTGCCTACCTTGTAAGTGGAAGAGTCACTCACTTTAATTGTTTCAATGATGTGTTTTTTGGTCAAAATTAGTTGAAAAGATTTGCTTAGAAACAGTAGAATTATAAACCTTCTTTACACAAAAAGATAAAATGCTCAGTGATCTTTTTTCTGATAACAACCTACCTTTGTTTTTTTTTAAGGTGCGACTGACTCTGGGAAGGGAGCGCGTTTCCTGTGATCTGGATGCTGCAGCCGTACCAATTCTGGTACAAGAAGGATTAAAGAGCACTGGCTGTGCCATAGTCTTCCTCCTCCTTTATTTCTTTGGCATGGCCTCCTCACTCTGGTTAGTTCCAGCACACTCCTTCACTTTTCTGTCCCAATGTGCCTGTTGTCATCAAGTGCTGTTAATGGCTCGAGGTGGAACAATTGGAACACGAGACTTGCATCCTGTTTTCCTTAGAAAAGTAACTATCCTGTCTCATAACCTCTGTACCAGTTGGCCTGTGTACCCAGTATAACAGCACCACTTTTCGAGTGTGTGCAACTAAAGTTGCAGTGGAAACACACTGCTGTCACAGCTCTTTTTCTTCCTATTCACTTGGACCTTGTTTTCCTGTTTGCCTTCTCCGTTTGGAAAAGTTACAAGCCAAGGACTTAACCCTCTCCTGAAGGATGATCACAACCCTCTGTTATGTAGCGCATAACCAACTGCTGTTGTAATGTTCTAGTCACAGATTAGATCGCATGTGTCCACCTGATTAGTTTGGAAAAAGTTGCATCAAGAGACCGTTTTGACACGCTCCGATAGGGAAAGTAGCTTCAGGGTTAAGACTGAGTCTCTTGTTTCACTGAATGTATGATTTTTTTATGGAATCAAGATCAGTCGCCATATTCAGAAATGGAAGGCTGACAGACTTATGGTCTTCATGAAATGACGTATTTAGCTGTACACATGAAGACGGATCTCTGCTAGTCTCATTCCTTCCTCCATCCCTTCTCCCAGGTGGGTGATCCTGACCCTCACCTGGTTTTTGGCTGCTGGACTGAAGTGGGGCCATGAGGCGATTGAAATGCACAGCTCCTATTTCCACATAGCTGCCTGGGCCATCCCAGCTGTTAAAACCATTGTCATCCTCATTATGAGACTGGTGGATGCAGATGACCTCACCGGGCTGTGTTACGTTGGCAACCAGCAGCAGGAGGCACTCACAGGGTTTGTGGTGGCACCACTTGCCACGTACCTTCTAATAGGTAAATAACACACTCATCAAAATGATTCCAATGTGGGATTCTTGCTGCATTCTTCCTTTCTGTCTGCGTATTCTGTTCAGTTCCTTTAACGGTGACTGGCATGTTCGCTCGTTTGTTGGTTCTTTGTGACATTTATGTGCCTCTTCCCTTCCAGGCACATTGTTCATCTGCGCGGGCCTCGTGGCTCTTTTCAAGATCCGCTCCAATCTGCAAAAGGACGGAGCCAAAACGGACAAGCTGGAGCGCCTCATGGTGAAGATCGGGGTGTTTTCCGTTCTCTACACCGTCCCAGCGTCCACCGTCATCGGCTGTTATCTGTACCAGCTGTCTAACTGGGGGGAGTTCGGGGCCTCCACCCGGGACTCGTACGTGGCGTCGGAGATGCTTCGGATCTTCATGTCGCTGCTTGTTGGCATCACGTCGGGGATGTGGATCTGGTCCGCAAAAACCCTTCACACCTGGCAGCGCTGCACTGCGCGGCTGCTCAGAGACAGCCGAGCCAGCCGGAGTGGCAAGAGGGCGCCGGGCGAGGGCTGGATCAAACCAGGAAAGGGCAATGAGACGGTGGTGTGAAAAGGAAACCGGAGCGAGGATGGACAGGAATGAATTCTGCCTTCTCCTGAATAGAAACTCATTCTGCTAAATGAAGGATGAAGAGAATGGGAAAATTAGAGAGGTGTTGAAAGTCACGAGGACAAAGGAACATGGCAGGACTTTCTTTAAAAAAAGCCATCGGGTGATCTCCCTGACAGTTCCTCACTCTAAGCCTTTGTGAGGGGCTATGAAGGAGAAAACAGGGAGCCGAGTCATACGATTGTAGCAACATTAGATTCTCTACCTCTGCTCGCTGTCGGTGCTCAGAGAGGTGGAGAAAGCAAAAAAAAAAGTTCAGGAAGACACGGAATAGGCAGAGCTGAAGAATCTATATGTAGACAAGCTACACCAATAAGCTGTACAGCACCGTGTCTACCTCTCTGTCCCTCTTTTCTTCCCTGGGAGTCCTCAGCAGAACAGACTGAACCTGCTGAATTCCGAAAACTTGTGCGGTGTTGTTCTTTTAAGGGTCTTTTGAAGTTTGAAATTTTACACTGGAGTAGATATTGTACAGGTGTGGGCTGAAGTTTCCCAAAAACACCTGACACCCTAAGAAACCCTTCAACCAGTAGATATCAAAACAGCAGAGTATTGGAATGAAAATCTGAAACATCTTCAATTTGTTTACATTTAAACTTTAAACAGTTAGGAGTAACGGCTTGATGTAAAGCACAAAAGGACGTTGGATATTATGACTTCAACTTTTTGGGAACCCAGCTCTAAGCTGTAATAATGCACTATAATTTGTAAAATATGTAAGTGTGGGACAGCAACACTGATGGGTCTACAACATTACAGCACAGTAATAGCCTTTACGAGTGGGATTATTTTCATTTTGAATACTAAAAAGAGCTCTCAGCATTATTATTAGTATTTTTAAACCAAGTATCTGCGAGTGCATGTTGTGCATTTTGTTGCCCCATGAATCCAGAAGCATCAGTTCCTCTTGAAAATGTCTGTCTTTGCGGTTCTGTCCTGCAGTCTGTGAGAAGCTCGGCTAACTCCTAACGATGTGTCCACTCCTCCTGGAAAACCCTGGACTGTATATGCTCTGGGGTTACCATGAATTCCAGGAAATTTAATTATTACCCCAGCCCTTTTCCAAACATTGGGTCTCCGGCAGGTTTAAGGACGAGAATTTACGGACAATCATTTGCCAAAATATACATTGTGCCGGAGAAAAAGCTTTTCATGCCAAGCTTTCATATATTTCTCTGCTAGAGTATAAAAGATTAAATGCTTTCCTATTTTCTGAAGCTGATACGAAGTGTGTCGAGAGAAGCTACTCCTGGCATTAAAAAGGACAAGCGTGCTCCTCTGGAGCGTTGAAAGGGCCGTGCACTATGTGGTTAAAAAAAAAAAAAGACCAGTTCATACATAACCACACTTTCAATTGCCAATAAAAGCAGGAAAAAAGGCAATAAGAAGAAAACATTGATTTGATACTGTATCCTACTCTTTAAGCTGAAGTAAAACCAGCACTACATATATGATGCTTTCTGTTGTGACTTGCCAGCATGCATCTTTGCCTGATACATTAGGGCTCATTCCCCTGACAATCAAATCCTCCTTGAGAGAGACTTTTGTACATTTTAGAATTCTATGGGCGATGGAGCTCTTTAATAGCTGGCCCGTTTTTATTTGTGCAGTTACTTGCAATATTTGCAAGCTTAAAAAAAAGTGTTGATCCTGACTCACCACTGTCCTTTGCCTATCAATCTCATAAACTGTGTTCTTGCCTGACAATCGATAAAACTTTGTCTTGTTTTTCTGTCATTTGAATGTCTAATATGTGGTATGTCCCAAATTTTGTTCAGGGCAGTAATGTGATTTTTTTCCTTTCTACTTTTTGTATAATTTGTAACCAGATATTGCCCATTCAACCACTCGTGTTTTTTAATCAGTGTTTGAAATAAGAATTTCAGGGCTGCATTATACCTAAAAATCAATCTAGCGTTGATGGTTCAGATGAAATCTGGAAGGTTGGTTAAAACATTTTTTTTTTCTCAAACCAGCATACCTTGGAACACTTATTAAATTTACAAAGTCAAACAAACATTACATTCACTTAAAGTAAATTAAGTTAACCTCTGACCACCTCCATTCTGAGCTAATGTGGTTTCCCTCTCAATCTGCCCTCAATGTTTTGGCTGCCTCGTCTCCTGTGACCACACTGAGCTTCAGGTGACATTTCCAAACTATCACAGAATGTGCCTTGAAATTCAATGCCTGTGCAACACCTAACCACTGTCAGCACGGACTTGTAAACGCTTTTGAGAAACCCTGATGTGAATCACTGCTGAGGTCAGTTCCCAACACAGATTGTAGCCTTTAAAGGTTTGGACTGCTCCTTCGTGTTGAACGCTCATTGTCTTGAGGACATCAATGTATTGTAAAGAAAGTGCTAATTTATCCTTGTAAAAAAGTGACAAATTTAAAACTTGTTTATTTAAGTACACTTTTGTATCAGAAGATGAATAAAACATTTTGATTTCCAGACTGGTTTTATAGTGTGGCACATCTTGTCTCAGGCATGGCACATGCACATGCACTTGAGTGTTGTTGTTCCAACTATATGTGACTAAATTGGGGCCTTTCTTGATTACTTTTCTAAAAAAGTTTAAGCTTTTTGATATGCGGTAAACCTTTTCTTTTCAATACATAATTTGACAGGAAAAATTGCTTTTCTATTTTAGATCTTAGCATTTCCAAAACCAAAGAGACTATCTGGAGTTGAATAAGGCAAAGAAAGCAAATCGTCACTTAATTTACAGTGTACAGTGTGCTTTCTTTTATTTGGCCTCTTTTACTGGGAGCTTCCACCTCAGTTTGTTGCATTACCTCACTGTTCTCCCTAAAGGCCGCTATGAAAAAAACGGGACAGATAAAGATAGAAAGTAAATGAGGGAGTGAAAAGATTAATGTTCTGCTGCGCTGCATTAACTTCCTGAGTTGGACAATGCTGCCATCTTTTGTCTGAGGTGACAAATGAATGCTTCAAAGCATGCCTCTGCTCTTTGTGAGTTAAGTCCTGTACATCAACATCATCAACATCTTTTAATGTATTTTACATTTCATATTAAAGGATTACTTAAACTAAGTTAAATTTGCTTTGAATTCAACGTGGAAAGCGGTACCGTGCCATCAATAGAAACTATTAGAATCTACTAGATTCTCAGGATCCCAAGACATGTACATAACCACCTTTACAGAAGACACAGATAGGTGTCCCCTGGCTTTCCACTTACACTTGAGAGAAGCTAGGCTGTATTTGCCTGTGAGGGGATAATATTTCATTCAGAAAAACTAATTCACTCTTGGCATGTCCGTGTGTGTTTGTGTGTGTGTGTGAGTGTCAGAAAGTTAAAAAAAAAAGACATGAAGAGTCATAATATCTGAGTGCAGCTCCAATTGCCTTCCTGTAAATTACTCTGAGTGAATTGAGTGTTTGTTTAAGAGCGTGCTTTAAAGCCTGAGGTAAAGGGAAAGTGACAGCATCTACTTCTCTATCGTTTCCAGATGTGGCTCCAGACACACACACACACACAAATGCTGAGAGAGTTTGGGCATCGCAAGCATGTTCATGAGTCGACAGGCATATTCACACACACGAAGAAAGATGAAAACTTCTAACACTTTCCAATGAATACCTTACATGGTAGTATTTGTTTTGCATTGCTTTTGAATGCACTAAACCTCCTGGAGTTTGAAGGGAGTTTTCCAGTGAATTCCACAGGTCATTTAGTTTCCAGGCATTTCCCTCTAAGCAGCAGTTTCTAAAGTTCTGTGGTTATTTAGGGAAGCAGTAACTTGTAGCACACAATCTTTAACAGTCAACAGATCTCCTAAAATGCTAATGACTTTATCTTACTCATAAATGATCGCTGTACACACAGCCCCTGCATATCTGCTTTTCTCAGACAAGAAGTACCTTGCACTTTCTGTACATGGACAGCTGTGTGGTACCACAGCCTGTTAAATTTGTGTAATGTTGAAATGTGAAAGGGATCTATTAAAATTCTTTGGACTAACATTCTTGTGTGTGTTATTAGAGCTGGATTCCCCTGTGCACTACTGTGTGCATGTACGAGCGGCTGCTTGCTTTTCTGTGTGTGTGTGTGTGTGTGTGTGAGAAAGTGGTGCCAAGACATTTGACTGTGTAGTAGATGAGAAGTAAAGAAAAAGAGGTGGAAGTGAGCACCAAGGGATAGAAAACAGTTTGAAAAAAAAAGTTGAGAGACAGGAACAACAAAATAAAAGGCCAATGAGAGAAGTGAAGGGGATCGAGTGAGAGAAGACTGTTATCGTCCAGCAGCAGAATGTTGCAGCTGTTCCTTCTCAGAAATGTTGAAATCATTTTCCCATTCTGCTCAGGGTCTATGCTGTATGGATAGTTTGAAGTAATGGCCACCACTGGGGATTCTGGGTGACGTAGCTGTCTTGGCCTCAGAGCCAATACGGTGCAAGAAGGATTTGAAAATGTCGGTTCTCAGGCCAAACATGTTAACGAGCTGAGACTGAAATCCAAAAATCCTGGCCAGGGGAGAGATTAGAGAATTATTCACCATCAAGCTGAAACAGAGAGGTCTTTATGCATAAAAGGGTGTGTAAAGGACAGATTTTTTTTTGCAGGAAAAAGATGTATTCAGTGTTCAAGGTTAGGTCATGCTCTGAGACTGGTCATGGACAGATCATTTGAACAGCTATGAAAAAAGTTTGGTTCTTGTTTTGAACACTACATCTTGCCCAGTGGTGGTGAAACTGAATGGATGGCTGTTCTGCAGGGTTTGACATTTGCCTTTTCCCGGGACAATATATAGACCCTAGAATTACCCTTTTGTAAATCTCATGTTTCTCAAAGTAGTTTATAATATTCAAGTTACTCCATCAAATGACAATGGGCTTAACCTCCATCCAACCTGAGTGTATGTGATACTTTCTGCTCATGTTAGCACATCAGTACTGGTGGTGAACACTAGATGACACTCCAAGCTTCTCAATGACTGCTGTGAGCAGGCTCATGCATTTTTATGATCTCATACATTTTCATGATGTGTTAACAGTTGGAGAGCAAAAATGTTTCTAACAATAGACCCCCTCAGCCATACAGGTCCTCTAGAACCCACTCCCAGTTTGGGTTTAGGTGGTAGACACTCTTTTTGTAGTGAGCCCTCACTCAGTGGTTTATTTCTGTAGGTGCTGACTGAGCATCGCATGCTGAACATCTCTATTCTCTCCCAGCCTTTTTTTTCCTCCACTACTGGAGGTCATTGATCTTGCTTCTGAAATTCATCATTTGTATTCAGTTTCTCTCAGTCTGTTCCTCAGCTGATATTTCTGGTTCCATGTTCACATGCAGCTGTTGGGGAAGGCTTGTTTTTTTTAGTCTCGTCAAGGGGGAATACCACGCTTTCTCCCTATAATGTTGTCTTAATCTGGTTCAAATTCACTATACTTATTTGCAAAAATTAAGTCACACAAATTAAGAAAATCCAATTTTATGATCTTACACATCTGTAACAGCTGTTTAACAGCCTTTTGCCTCACAAAGCAGTTTTGAAATATTTAAAACTGCTTGTCTATTAATCCCATTTCTATGCACAATTAAGAAAATCAGAGCAAAAACTGACCAATCAACTCAATCCATCCACGAGATGCAATCCCTGCGTTTAACTTGCGCTGTTGTGTTTGTGCGTTTCTAATTGACATTGGGTCCGAGCGCAAAGGACACAGACTTTGGATGGTAAAAGGAAACTGTTGCACCCAAACCGACATACTCTCCATAAAATAGTGTATAGTATATTAGTGTATTTGAAAATAAGAAACCTAGACAGCACTGAAAGACCCCAATTGACCATCTTAGGCAGAATTATTTTCCTGTTAGGCCACAGTTCCATCCATTACAACACTATGCAACCCTAATAATGGACACAATTAAAAAAATGCATCAGTCTGCCAAGATTACGACAGAGCCAGAAGAAATTATTCTTCCCGCCTGGGCAAAAAGAATTGCAGAGCTTTTAGGGTAAAAATCCTGATTAGTCAACTCTCTCACAAAAAAAAAAAAAAAGGAGAAGCGCAGGTCTGTTGAATCTAGTAGAATCTAATTGTTTAGATGCATTACTGTTTTTTACATTTGCTTTTCATACGGCTATAATATAATATTACCCTTTTCAAACTTCTTAATATATAACATTTGAAGATTTAAGTAGCCATTTTCAAAAAATTAGATCAATAAAACATGAAAGCCAAGAACGGTACAGCATCAATATCAAGACTAAACACAAACCCAGTAGTGTAACCATTTTTCCTGCACAAAGAACTGTTGCAGAGGCCTTCTGTTGTGCATCAAGGCTGCTCGGTTTAAAGGTAAAACCAGTGCATTAAAGGAATGGAGAAAAGCTGAAGGATTCCATATTACATCTGCAGGACATTCGTCAACTTTTGAAATGTCAAGCATTCAATACAATCAGTCATACTGGTTCAGTGTGGGGGTGGTGATGGTCGTGAGTGTTTTGCAGTGAATAGGACAGAAAATTAAACTAGAAATAAAGAAGGAAAAGTAAGGGGATAGCGGCTGGGGCTGGGGATTGAGAAAGAGAAGTGGTCAGGTTATTGAGCAGAGTGATAAAAGATGGAGGGAAAAGTCTAAGGTAGCCTGCATTTTTAAAAAGATTACCATTGTTTTTTTCAATCAGAAGGCCAACAAACAATCCATCTGCATGTCTGGTTTGTTTCCTATTTGTTCGCCCTGTGCATCTGCGCTCAGTGCTGAAAGAAAATGAGCAGCCGGCATCAGTCACACTTGTATTTCAGTTTCCCGGTCCTGATTTAGCCACTATTAATAGTTTTGGGATTGTGAGTTGGTTTTATTATTGTCATCAACACAAATGTCTCTCTAATCGAGTAAGTCTGTGTTTTTATCTTCATCTTAAATAAATACACACAATTTTATGTTCTTAAACCTCCACTATCAACAGTATCTTGATTGGCACCATGTACAACTCTATAAGACTTTTACCCGTGCCCCAACACATTTAGGATTAACAATTATATAGATCCAAACTACTTATGAGGTGCTCATGTTTGACAGTTGACCATGTCTTTTTTCAATCAACTGTCAATGGCTTGTGTATCTGGTTTTTATGTTTTCTGGTAACAAGTCTTGACAGTATTCATTGGGGTATTTGTTTTTTTTCACCTGACTGGCTCTGCACTGCCAGCTATACTTTGCTGGCTGTTTGAATAGGAATGAAGCAATCAGCTAAAGCCTGTGATCCGGGACTTGTTGTCCTGCTTATTAAAAGTGTTCCAAAACACGACAGTTGCACACCTGTCACTCAGATAGGGAAACTGAATGGAATGCACATCCAAATAAAAAGCATAGAGAATAAACAACTTAAAATAAGAAACAAGAGAGCTGACAGCAAGCACTGAAAGGGAGGACTGAGAGTGACACTAGCAATTTGTTCTGTATATGGACTGTACTTTTCTTTTGCTGTGATATATTGTACTATTCTTGGAAATAGTTGCCACGTATAGGCAGTGTAGGAGTTTTAGGTTGAGGTTGGAGCTTAAAACACTGCAATGAATATTCTTTCTATCAGTTTATTTTGTTTTTTTTTTAAAACACACTGAGAAAACTAAAATATAATTGTGATTAAAAAAAAAACATTTTTTAAAGCAACTGGGAATGGTACAAAATGTTAATATAGTTAGAGTAGAACCTCCAGACACAGTTGAAGTTTCTACTGTTCAATTTAAACATAGCCATTAGACAGCACATTCCTGTACTGATCAAGAGAAATGGATTTCTTAGGAGGGAAGCCTTTACTTTATTGACATATGCTTTTCTCTACTTCATGTTAAAAATGTATATCAGGTAATAATTTGGGATGTCAGAAGTTTGAAGGCTTCATGTGATGGAGCATTGACGACTTATTGACAAATTTTGCAAAATGCTTTTGATGTACGGCCTCAAAAATATATATATTTGTGTATTTTCACTGTCACTCAAAAAGCAAAAATTCTGAAAAACAAATGTCCGATGGGACTCACCCGTGAAACCAGTAAATGTCATTTCATCTTCAGTCTACTGGAACACATGAATCAGAGTTTAAGGAATATTTGCCCTTTCCGAATACCCGCACACCTGTGTTGGAAGCTGCTGACTGCAAAGTTGAAACAGCTAGACCTTAGTGCTCGCAGTGATGGTGCAATATATGACAAAGGGTAAAATTAAAATAAGGAAAAAAATTGTCAACAACATTTAATTGTAAGTAAAAGACTGTCTCAATTATGGAAAACCTGGCAGATTGACTAAAGCAGAGGAGTCACAGATTAATGAGGCACATCATTTTCTGGTAGTCAAATCACATATGCCAAATTGAGAGGAAGTAGCTGTGAAACAGACCAAACTCATTTTACTGTGCACACACACAATTTGATATTCTGATGTACTTGGTAAATTGGGTGGAACATAGTATAAAGCCATTACATGCCCACAATATTTCCAGCAAGTAAATCATCCCAAAACACTCTTACAAAGGCTACAACAAATGTACTAAAAACGGCTAAATTATAATGGTGCATTCCTACAGGTTGAGGCTGTTTTGGTGATTATCATACTATTAGTATATTTTATAATATAACCGTTTTTTTTTTTTTTTTTACATTACAAATGTACATGTATCATAGATTTGACATTCAAAGGCCAGTAGTGATGGCAAAGAGCACCACTGGGTGTGAGTGGGTGTTATTTTCTATTCCATGTATAACCAGGGACACTGGTCAGGCGTTCCAAAAAGGCTGTTTTGAAAAAATAACTTTAAAAAGATGCAAAGCTTAAATTACG